CAGACGGCCTCACCCTGCCTTGGTGCCCACAGGGAGGTGAGGACCTCTGACCCGGGCCACCAGCACCCCAAGATGACCACCCTGGCTCTGCCAGGTAGCTGCAGGTGAGCCAGGGTCCCCTAGGCCCTCGTTCCCCAGGTGGGACTGGGGAGGTCTCCTGGGGTTTATAAATTAGGACCTAGGGTGGCCCAGGTGATCCCCATACTTATCCTTCCCGCTTCCCTGGGCCACATGTGGTGAGCACTACCTTCCCCCAAGGTGCTCGTCTCCCACAGCCCGTTTTTAGGTCCAGGGTCATAGGATTTCTTGCTGCAAGTCACCTGGCTGGAAGGGGCAAGCCTGGGACCAAGCCCCAAGGCCTGGGGCTCTAGGGGTTGACCAGCTGGATCATCTATACACATCGTCTGAAGCCCTCCCTGCAAAGGGCAAAGGCCAAGGAAAGCCCCCATGACAGCACCAAGAACCCATTTTGCAGATGAGCAAACTGACGGCCAGGAAGGGTTAGCATTGTGGTCAAGGGCACACAACAAGGCTGACCTACCTCTCACCCCTCATAACCACCATCTCTTGTTCCCTGGAAACCAAACTAGCTCTGTAGATACCTGACCCCCACCTTCCCTCTGGGAACATGGCCCACCTGCCAGCCCTGCCCCCGGCTACTGCTCCCACCCTGTCCTCTCAGAGCCCAACGCCTCAGAACCGGAGGGGAGGGCAGGGTCCCAGGCTCTGCCTAGCCCCTCTAGGTAGGCTGGGCAAGGTGCCAGTGCACCTACTGTGTGCATGGCACCTCCCTGTCCTTTACCCTGAGAGGCCCAGCTGTCCCCTGGTGCACAGTAGGTGCTCAGCAAATGGTTTTGTTCATAATCATGAACAGAACGATCTCTCCTCCAGGAACCCCCCCACACACACACACACACAAACACAGCCCATCTTTCATCACGGCCCCTCCTCTGCTCACGCCTCCCCAGGATTTCCGGGGTGCTTGGTGCTGACTCGGCCGCCTGAGAGGGGCAGGCCCCGGCAGGCCCCTCCTGGACTAGAGGCAGGGTGCCCTCCTCCCCGTCAGCCTCTCCTGGCCCCCACGCCCAGTTCTCCCCATGGAAGTGCACAGTAGGAGCGCAGCAGATGAACAACTGGGTGGACCGAAAACTAAAGAAACACCCTGCAGAGAGCCCACACCCAGCCTGGCCTGTCCACCAAGGCACACCCAGTGTCGGGACTGTGCAGCCTGCCAGTCCCACCTCTGATCTAACCTAGGGTCAACTTGCTGTTGCTGCTTTCCAAGGCAACCGGACCCAGGCCTGTTTTCAGTCCTCCAGAGTCCTCCTCTGTGTGCCGGACTTTCCAGAACTAACCCGGGCCCTTCCCTGGGGTGGGGAGTTGCTTGGGTATCCTGCTTACCCTCTCATAGACCTGGGCTTTCAGGCCAAGTTCGTAGCTCACCAGTGGTCAGGACCAAGTGCCTGCCCCTCCTTAGCTGTGGGGGCACCGGGGGAGGCCAGGGCACCAGGGTCCTGGCAGAGCTGGTATCACCCAGGAGGAAGCTAGGAAGGGTGCTCATGACATGGAACCCGCGAGGGGCAAAGGCCTGCAGGTGGACACAAGGGAGAGGGACAGGGAAGCAGGAGGCCGCATAGCCAAGGCAGGGGCAGGAAGGCTGGGGCTCACCAAGGTCACTCAAATGGGTGAGGGGTGAGGCCAGGCTTCCTCTCCCACACTCCCCGGAAGGGGGGGCAGGGGCAGGGAACTGCCACTACACCTTTCTGGAGAAGTGCCCAGGGGCACAGCTTAATGAAGGGTTAAGGTCCCTCACCCCTTGCCCCCCTCCACCCAGGGAGAAAATGGGTGCGTCTGGAAGTCCTACGTTTTGCCATGCCCACGTTCAAATCCCAACCTCCTCAACTGCCAAGCAGTGTGACCTCAGGCAAGAAGCGAGTCCTCTTTGCCTCAGTTTCCCTGGGGCTGTTCTAAGTTCCCACTCCCAGGGCTCTGAAAACCTTGCCTGAGGGCCTGCTGTGCCAAAGGCCATCCCCAAAGGCACAAGGAAGCTGCTCACCCTCCAGTTTCTTCGGATAATATTTCCAGAATCCAGCCCCATCTCTACCTACTGTGTCCAGGAAGTGGGCAGAGAGGCCCCCAGGAGGGGGGAGGTGTCTAGAGGGAAAATCCCAGCCCAGAAAGGGTGGGCGGCAGGGGCCAGGTCCCAGTGAGGCAGCTGCGCAGGTGTGGCCCCCACCCCCTCCCAGCCATCGGCCTGTGTTGCAAGGTTCATGCAGACAGGTTACCCCACCCTGACCTGGTGCCAGTCCCTGCCAGGCCCGGTCCTGGCTATAATGGGAAGGAATGTGGCGTCCCAGTTGGGGGCTGGGGGAGGACACCAACCTACCACTAGGGGTGGCTGCCAGCCACCTGCCCGCCCCCTGCCCGAGTGGGCCTCTGGGCCAGACATGAAGCAAACAAGCCCTCGGCCATTTTCCGTGTCCATTTATTGCCCTAAATGGGGAGGGGCTTCCTGCCCAGGCCTTAAAGGGCCAGAGGCAGGAAGGCTGTGGCCCAGCGGGAAGTGTGAGTGGGTGGGGGGATGAGGAGGCCCTGGAGACTCCATCTGATTCCCAGCTCATGGGTGGGGCTGGGGCCCACCCTGTTCCCACGCTCAGGGTTCAGTCCCGAGACCAAGGCCGAGCTTGGAGGAAGCCGAGGCCACCCACCATGGAAGCGATGGAATGAGCTTCCCATCACTGAGGGTAAGCAAAGGTGGGCTCTGCAGAATTCCATCACCATCCATGCTGCCCTCAGCTCAGGCTGTACCTGCCCATCTAAGATGCCCGGGGGAGCTCCTCTCCTGCTCGTCACCTGCGCGTATGTGTGTGTGTGTGGGTGCGCACACACACACACAGCCTAAGCAGGTGGAGACTGTAGCCTGGGGAGCCCCCAGTGAAGGTGTGTGCCCACAGCACCTGGTCAGATGGGCGGTGGGACCAGGCCTTGCTTCCCCGTCAAACCGGAAAGGTGTGGGTGGGGACATATCCCAGTGGCTGGCCACAGCCTGCTGGGGGGACAGATGGAGGGGCTGGTTCTTTGGCCATCCTCCTCACGGGTGCAGGACTCTTCACCCGGTACCTTCTGTGCCTTGGTGCTGGGAACTCAGGGCTCAGGCCCCAGTGTGGGGGCCGCTCCTGGCAGGGCTGGGAGCCTGGTCATCACATCTTGACCGTCACAGCAGAGCACAATGCACTCATTAAGGCCATCAGTCCTCACAGCGCAGGGAAGCAGGGTCTGTAACCAGCATCCCGTTTTACAGACTGGAGACTGAGGCTCAAAGGGGGCAGCAACTTGCTGGGGGTCACACAGCAGAGCCACTGGGCCCTGTCCTCTGTAACTTGGCCTCTCAGGGGACCAACTTCTCTCAATCACAACCCTCAGGTACATACTGCTGGGGACTAATCCCTCTGGGACCCTTACTCTCACACCCCTGGGGACCTGCCTCCCAAAAGGGCCAAGTTTGCCCGCCCGCGCCAATCCCAAAGTCCAGGTGCTACCAGGGTCCTCAGCAGTGGCTTCACAAACGTTCCCAGGGGAGTCACCGACTGAATTATCAACATGACACTTTTGGACCATGGTAATCTCCCCTCTGTACAGATGGGGGAAGCAGGTTGGCAGAGGGGAAGCGGCCTCCCTACGTGGGCCTCAGGCAGAGCCAAGGGCTGGGCTGGGATTGGACCACTTACCCCCACCCAAGCCTGTTCCTCTGGTCCCTGCTGCCCAGGGCTGTCACAGGGCAGTTTATAGTCTGTAGGGAGCCTGGGGCATCAGGTGATAGGTGGGAGGGGGCCTCCGTCTCAGGTGGCTAGTGACCCCACACCCACTCCCTGCAGTACCTAGAGCTGAGCCAGGTGCTCTCTCTTCCATGACAGGGGGAGACACATCCCACCTGTGGGGGTCACCACAAAAATTAAGCCCATCTTACAGAGGGGTATGTGCGTGTGAATAGGAAATACTCCCCAAAATGACCCACAAATTAAAATTTCAGTATCCCTGTTGTCCATACGGCTGGTCCAAGGTCACAGGGCAATGAGGCCAGCATTTGAAGCCCCAGCCAGTTCTCTCCTTGGAGCACTACCCCTGGCACTGTGGCCCTTTCCCTCTGAGTTTGCTCTAGAATAATGGAGTCATAAAACCCTGAGCCATACCCTCCTCTCAGGGCCAAGGTGCGGGCTGGCGGCTCAGGAGGGGCACCCATAAAAGTGCCCACTGCATGGGGCTGGGAGGCAGGAGTACAAGGGCCTATGCTGTGTGACCTTGGGCATCTTGCTTGCCCTGTCTGAGCCTCAGAGAGACTCAACTCAGCTGGCAGGTGCTTGAGGCTGAGGCTAGATCACTGACCTCCAGCTGGATTGAAGACAGGTGGGCAAATGCCCCCAGCCCATACCCCAGGGAGGACTTTAGCCAGATCCTGGGCCATGAAGCAGGACCACAAGTGCTGACCAGCCCCACTCCAGCTAGATGACCTTGGTCTGCTCTCTACCTCCCTCCCGGCCTCAGTCTCCCCTACTCAATTTGGCACTTGCTCCGAGGCTTGCTCCCAAATCCAGGTTGCCAGGCTCCCAGCCTGCTATCCCTTTGGGCCTCGGTTTCCCATCTGGCAATGGGGACTATGCCACCTGCTGGGCCCAGTGCCGCCGGGTTGAGAGGGCCTCAAGGAATGGGGGGGGGGGGAAACCACCACCAAGGACTTGCTCATCCCCCAGGAATCTTTTCCACTGAGCCCAGGCTGAGCTGTGCCCCAGCCAGACCTCAGTTTCCCTCAGAGGATAGGACTGGTGGTATTCTGCATTGCTGCTGACTAGCCACCTTACAGCCAATCAGAACTGAATAATAAATACCCCCCAAAGCGACCCACGAATTAAAATTTCAGTGTCCCCGTTGGCTCCTCTTTCCTTCATTAGCCATGCAGAGCTCAGGGCTGGCTCTCCCCCCCCCCAGGCTTCGTCGCCACAGCAATGGCTGGCGGTAAACAGAGCCCCGAGCCCAGCGTCCTCCAGGGCCCCCCTCGGGGGAAAATGCCCCCTGATTGGAGCCTTGGGCAGCGGCGCCAGCCTTGGCCCAGGCCCCCACCTCAGTCACCAAGGGGATTCCAGGGCCTGGACTCTCCCAACATATCTCCCTAACACTCTCTGCCAATAGGAAGTGATCGGCGGGGGGTGGGGAGCCCCTCCAGTGTGGGATCGGTGCACTGGGGGTTCCGCCCTGGCCCTGCCCGGGAGGAGGGGGTGACACGGAATCCCGGACAGACGGAGAGGGCGTCCGGCTCCGGCTCCCGGAGGCAGCTGGCAGGGAGGGGTCAGTGGGTGAGCCAGGTGGGCACCGCCCGGGCAGGGGCACCGGCATCCCTCCTCTCACTTCCGCCGGCTGGCTGGGGGGGGCGGGGAAGACGGGTGGCCTGCCTCCCCCTGCCGCGCCACCAACTCCTGGCTTCATTCCCCATACACTTAGTGGGCGCCGACTGGGAGACTGTGTGCCCGGGCCTGGTTGGACAGCACCCTCCCTCTGCGGCCCACCAAGCTCCCCTGCCTGCCAGCCAGCGCGGGCTGTGCCTCCCAGGCCTGGCAAAGGCTTGGGCCCTGGGGCGCACCGGCTAGCTCCGCGCGCGGCTTAGCCCCCGGCCTGCTCCCAGGCTCAGGGCTGGAGGAGGGAGCTGGATCCTGGACCAGGGAGGGGGAGAGGGCGCCGGATCCCACCAGCTCTCCCCCTGCTCGGCCCGGGCTCCGGGTTCGCACGTGGTGGTGTCGTCAAGGGGAAGGGGGGGTCCAGGCCGGAGGAGCCGGAGTCACGCGCTTTGGGGGCGCGGGCGAGGGAGGAGGGGTGCTCTCTCCCCCCGCCCAGAGGCTGGGACCCGGCGGCCG